GGAGGCCTAATCTATGTGATCTTATTGGTCGCAGGGAGGTAATTGGCAGAAGGCGGTCTCTCAAGTATCCAGAAATACTCAGAATATATGAATCCTTTCTACTAGGGTCGCAAATTAATGACAGGACATGGATATTTTACAAATGAGAGGGTCTTTTCAATTATAGTCTTCTGTCCCTAGAATTCCTTCTCCTAAAAACAACATGAAGCCTATGTTTTGATTTTTCAACATGTACCCTTTTATTTTCAAATGCACTTGAAGAATCAATTCTTCAAGTTCATTTAGCACTGAAAGTTACAACAGTACTGAAAAAGTGACTTATGACCATTTTTCACAGTTACCACCTTTGTTGCGTCCCCATAATCATGTGATCAAAATTTAGATGCGTAGCAACTGGTTTATATTTATGACCATTGCTGAGTCCCAAGGTCATGAGATCACTTTTGCAACCTTTTGACAAGCGAAGTCAACTTAACAACTAGGTTACTAACAAATCAACTACAGTGATTCACTTAATAACTGTGACAAGAAAAGGTTGTAAAATGGAGCAAAACTCACTTAACAATTGTCTTGCTTAGGAATGGAAATGTTGGGCTCAATTGTGATAGTAAATTGAGGACTACCTGTACTGTGATTTTGCATTTTAAGTTTTTGATCTGTACAGTTCAGTTTTTGACTGGTTTAAAAGTATAAATAAGTATTCTATTACAAAATGAGTTTTCTTTCAGTCTCAGGAATTAATGACAAACTACTACCAAGATCGGAGAGCAACTGGACACATTCCTAATCAATATACTGTAACTGCTTACGAAAAATATTCTCTACTACTTTTTATATTTTTAAATGAAATCCATTTTACTTTTGTCCTAGCAAGTTACAATAGATGATTGATCCTAGACAAATAAAGAATTCCACAATATTAACTAGATTCTTAATAGTTATGTGCATGTACTTAGCTGTGTAATGAATTTGTCATGGCTGGTAAGCTAAATGGGGAAAGGTGTGGTTAGTATTTTGATGGGGGACGCAGANTTGAAATCCAATCAAAGCTAGAACTATAAGAATTCATTGGTGATTAGTTACATTCTGTGAGGTTCTGTGTGGTAATAAAACTCCCACTTCAAACTGGACTCCTGGTGAGTTACATGGAGACATTGATGTCATTTTATTGGTAAGGATATTACCTTTTTATGGGGAATAAAAAAAAAAACACCAATTCCCAGTCTAACCTACAACTTTCAGGTTACCTGTGGGTACCTCCTCTGAGTAATAATCAGGATTGCCCTGTCTAACTTTCTTTACCTGGAAGTATGTAAAAAGTGCAAGACATTCCTAGGGAGAATGTATTCAATGTACCTTTTCACTCTGAACTGCTTAAACTTTAATGAACATCCAAGGCTTCACTATTATACCTGACCAAAACACTTTTAATTCATGGTGACATGAAAAAAAAGTTGTCATCTAGTTCTTGATGTTGCTAGCTTTAACCATAATTTAGTTTTCCTAACAATATGTTAGGAAATGTGATGCACACTGTCCATTATTACACAAGTTGGACAGTCATATAAAACTTATAAATAAATAAACAAAGAAACACATTTAAAATTGCTTTAATATATCTGAATAAGCAAATTATATTTTTCAGTAATTACTGCTTGGAATCTTGCTCACTGGAATTCTGAAAAAATGGTGACAGTTTCAGCTGAAGTTGATGAACAATTACTAAAATTACTAAAGCAATTGTTTAGTAAAACCTCAAAAATTATTTCAGAGAAGACTATAATATGAACCATATAAATGCATTGTATCACAGAACGTGAATCATATTTTCAGATTTCTATTAGCACTGTTAAAGTCAAGTATATGAGAGCTAAAAAGGAGCCATTTTAAATTAGAAGAAAAGAGTTTCTTGGTAATTCTTATTTTAATGACAAAATGTATTTTTTGTGGCTGTCTCCAAAAGTCCTATCAAACACATAGACAGACACTATTAGCACTTAAAATTAACCCTGGTTCAAATCTCAAACAACAGATTTTCAGGGCCAAATTACACTTACTGAAATTACAGAACTGTTTTTTT